TTCTATTTCTGTAAACTGGCTCAGGTCTAGAAACTGGGCATGGAATCCTGATTTTTTAAAAATCAGGACAACCATCTTGATTTTCTTAGTTATCTATCCTTTTTTTCTGAACTAGTATCTTTCTCAGTTGCTCATCAATTTTGCCTCTAAGGCTCCGTGTTAACCATTTCTCTAATTCTTTATGTGTGACGGTCCCTTGGCTGCCACTCAGATCTTACTGGCTAATATAATTGGAATCCTCTGGCTTCTGTCAGTTAAGTGCTGCTGCTTCCTGCTTCTTTTGTTCTAGGCTCCCATCCATGTTCTGAAACAGTTTTTCATACTGTCACTCTTGCCTACAGGGGTGAGTCATAACTGAACCTCAGGCTTTCATCAGCCTGCCTAATGACCTTTCTATTTTGTGAGAGTTTTACTTTGTCATCTTCAGTAAAGTATGGTGGTGTCATAGCTCACAAGCACCTCAAACTTGTGGGCTCAGGCAATCCTCTTGCCTCAGGATTCTGAGTAGCTGGGACTACAAGTGCCTGCTACAACACCCGGCTATTTTTACAGACAGGATCTCGCTCTTGCTCAAGCTGGTCCTGAGCTCAGGCAATCTGTCCACCTCAGGTTCCCAGAATGCTAGGATTATAGGAGTGAGACACCATGCTTGGCCCTAATGACCTTTCTAAAAATTTTTTATTTCAAGGGTACAAATGATTAGGTTACAATGTTTGTTAGCTAAGGTCCCTATTGCAGTTGTGCCCCTCACCCAGGAGGTGTGCCATGTACCCTTACATTGTGTCCATTAGATGGGAACACCCCAATCCCCCTACCTTCTCCCCAGGCCCTTCTTTCCCTTCCCCCTAACTTGAATTGAGTTTTTCTCTTGTGTAGGGGTATATTAGTTTGTCCATAGGACTTCATATTAGTATTGAATACACTGTATATGTGCTTTTCCATTCTTGTGATACTTTTACTAAAGTATCCAACTCCAACTCTACCCAGGTTAATACAAAAGATGTCTCCATCTTTTTAGGGCTGAATAGTATTCCATGGTATACATATACCACAGTTTATTATTCCATTTATGGGTTGACGGACACTTGGATTGATTCCACATCTTGGCAATTATAAATGAGATGCATGACCTTTATAAATGATGTTTTACATTCCTTCATGTGGAATGTAATTATCAGGTGGGTCATCCATAAACACAAAGCACGTAAATTTCAGCATGCTACCTTCCATTACATTTTCTGCCACTTTAACTTGGCTTATCATGGCCCATAGCTTTTTCATGTTTGGTGTTTTGAATATATATCTGCAAATTCTTTGATACTTTTCCCTTCAGAAAATGGAAACTAATTCATCTCCCTTTGAATATGGGTCAGTTAGTGACTTGTTTCTAACAAAAAGTAGAACTGATGGTATCTAACTTCTGAGGTAAAAGGATACAAAAAGGATACAGCTTTCCTTTGTCCTTTGTCTTTGGATTGGTCCTGGAATCCAGTCATCATTCTGTGAGGAAGCCCAGGCCATGGGAGTAGCCATGTATGGGTATGCTTGCAGACACCCCCAACCTAGGCTCCAGCCAGCCTGTAGCATCAATTGTCAGATGTGGGAGTAAATGAACCTTCACATCATTCTAATCCCAGCCTTTATGCTTCTCCAGCTAAGGCCCCAGATACTGTGGAGCAGAAATAAGCTGTCCCCACTATTCCTCAACCCATAGTAAGCTAGAGAGATAATGATTTTTCTTGTTTTAAGTCAGTAAGTATGTAGTAATTTGTTATGTAATAATGCTAGGAGGTATCCTTTCACCCATCCTCCATCATGCTAGGAGGTATCCTTTCACCCAGTCTTTGCCAGGGTGTTAAATCTAAAGCTTTAGAGGACTATTCATGTCAATAAATTCATCTAACCAATTTTACTTTCCAACTCCTTTCACCAATTATCCAATAATTCAGCACTATGCAAACTTTCCCAGCTCCTCCTAGTACAAGTTAGCCCAGCTTGTTATGGGTTGAATTGTGCTCCCCTTCTCCCAAAAGATCCTGAAATCCTAACTCCCAGTACCTATGAATGTGACCTTACTTGGAAACGGGTCCTTGCACATGATCATGTTGAGTTCATTAGGGCAGGCCCTAATGTAGCATGACTGGGGTCTTTATAAAAAGGAAACCAAATCTAATGACCTTTGTAAATGATGGGTTATTTATACCTTCATTTGGACAGATACACAGGAAGTGCACACATGAAAGCAGAGATTGGGGGCTCGGCGCCTATAGCTCAACCGGCTAAGGCGCCAGCCACCTACACCTAAGGTGGCGGGTTCTAATCCCTAGCCC